CAGGCATTCTGGAAATGTTTAAACCTTCATGAATTTCACAGGGAAACGTGCCCGTCTTGTGTAGTCGCTGACAGGAGGTTTACATCCCGGTATGACGGCTGTGTCCTCAGCTGGACACAGTGACCTCATTCTGCTGATCCGCAGGAGGAATGCATGACGGGGCTGGTCACTGTGGTCACCATGTGTAATGATATTGTTGGAGGTCACAATACTCCAATACAGAGGGCCCTCTACCCCAAGTGATCTCTGTCCAGATATACTGTACATGTCACCAATGGCATTTTCTCTCTCATCCACTGTGGGACACAGGAATTCAGAGGCTATCGTGTTATACTACCGCCTACAGGAGGTTTGGACAAACAGAAAAATTGTTGGCCAGCTCCAGAATAAACCCTTCTATACCCAGCATGCCTCAGTGTTGTGTTAGTGTCTTAGGACTAAGAAAACCCTGACAGTCTTTGCTAACCTTTTTCTTCACTGGACATGCAGGGGTCTGGAACCATGGCCCTGTGTCTGGAGACTCACATGACCCTGTCTCTGGAGACTCAAATGACCCTGTCTCTGGAGACTCACATGACCCTGTCTCTGGAGACTCAAATGACCCTGTCTCTGGAGACTCACATGACCCTGTCTCTGGAGACTCACATGACCCTGTCTCTGGAGACTCACATGACCCTGTGTCTGGAGACTCACATGACCCTGTGTCTGGAGACTCACATGACCCTGTGTCTGAAGACTCACATGACCCTGTGTCTGAAGACTCACATGACCCTGTGTCTGGAGACTCACATGACCCTGTCTCTGGATATTCACATGACCCTGTCTCTGGAGACTCACATGACCCTGTCTCTGGAGACTCACATGACCCTGTCTCTGGAGACTCACATGACCCTGTCTCTGGAGACTCACATGACCCTGTGTCTGGAGACTCACATGACCCTGTGTCTGGAGACTCACATGACCCTGTGTCTGAAGACTCACATGACCCTGTGTCTGGAGACTCACATGACCCTGTGTCTGGAGACTCACATGACCCTGTCTCTGGAGATTCACATGACCCTGTCTCTGGAGACTCACATGACCCTGTCTCTGGAGACTCACATGACCCTGTCTCTGGAGACTCACATGACCCTGTCTCTGGAGACTCAGATGACCCCCATCTCTGGAGACTCACATGACCCCGTGTCTGGAGACTCACATGACCTTGTCTCTGGAGACTCACATGACCCCGTGTCTGGAGACTCACATGACCTTGTCTCTGGAGACTCACATGACCCTGTCTCTGGAGACTCGCATGACCCTGTCTCTGGAGACTCGCATGACCTTGTCTCTGGAGACTCACATGACCCTGCTCTGGAGACTCACATGACCCTGTTTCTGGAGAGTCACATGACCCTGTGTCTGGAGAGTCACATGACCCTGTCTCTGGAGAGTCACATGACCCTGTCTCTGGAGACTCACATGACCCTGTCTCTGGAGACTCACATGACCTTGTCTCTGGAGACTCAGATGACCCCCATCTCTGGAGACTCACATGACCCCGTGTCTGGAGACTCACATGACCCCGTCTCTGGAGACTCACATGACCTTGTCTCTGGAGACTCACATGACCCTGTCTCTGGAGACTCACATGACCCTGTCTCTGGAGACTCACATGACCCTGTCTCTGGAGACTCACATGATTAAGGCTGAAACACTGGGAGCTACCTCACCGCATCGCTGTGTGCCTTTCAGACTTTCTGCTACTGACATTTTTACTGTGGAAAGGGTTAACATTGAGGCACTGAGACTTTTTTAAGCATCTGATATAATGTCATTTACCTTGTGCTCTGGATAGACCACACCTTCCCTCTGTTTTTACCTCCTCTTGGGCAGTCCACCATGATTACCCTCTCCACATTGGAGTGGGTGCGTGTTATGCCCTAAGGCCCATATGGTTTGTGCCAAGTGCATTCACTCGCATCTCTCTGAAGGTAAGGCTCCTGTGTATTTGTTGTCATCTCCGTGATGCCGATGATTTCATTATGTTACATTGTTATTCACTTTATTAATTTACAAAATTAAAGCCAACTTGTTGTAGCGCTCCGTAGTTTGTAATGTCATGCTGCATTGTGAATCGTTTCTCTCTGTCTTAGTCTTCTGCATTCCTTTTTGTGAACTTATATAAAACTTTTGTTAAAGAAAAATATCTGATGACAGGTCCATTCTAAGTATCTGAACCTGTAGTTCACATCACTTCACAGGTCGGTCCATGTCCTGGTTATAATGCTGTGTGCTTTTCTAGATGGACTTGAAGATCAAAGCCATGGAGGCAAAGTTTCATGAAGAGAAGTTAAAAATGCAGCAAAAACATGACGCAGACGTACAGAAGGTGAGTGGATGGTAGATTGCTCCTTATAGCCCAGCCTTTCTCCAAAGGAGGAGGATACTATGGGTTCCTTGAGGTAGGTAACCACTGACAACTGTGATTTTTGTAGTAGTGGTGTGACCCTCCTGCGCTCCAAATATAGTGTTTTAAATAATACAAATTAAATATATGAACCCCAAACAGCTGCTAACATTAAATCATATACCAGTGATCAAGTGAATATAAACCATATAAATGCTGCGCTACATTCAAAATTAAAGTGAATGTGGAATCCAATAATATAAATCAATATAGTGACAATATTATGTAAATAAATATATAAGTGCTTAATGATAACAAAAATTATCACATCAAACACCCCAAAAATTATAAAAATACAAACTTAAATCTATACGCATGTGCATAAATTACACATACATATAGTTATATCACACGTGCAAATGTGAAGTGAAATAATGGCTTATTAAACGCACAGAAAAACAAATCTATAAATGTTGAAAATAAAAAAAAAAAATGTGAAGTGAAAATAATTGCTTATTAAACGCACAGAAAGTCCAATTAAATGTTGAAGGTGAACAAAAATGATAACGGTGTTTCCAATAATACTGCAAAGTGACCACAGGTGAACCAAATCGTGCAGGTATCTGAGTGTAGATAGAGCTTGTGAATCCAACCACCTTCTGGATTAGCCTCTCACCTCATCCCTTCGACCCTTGCGGATTTTTTGCTATGTTTCTCTGGTGCATTATTACACATTTCTCTTTTTTCTGTGTAAATGTGCCCAATATAGATGTAAATCTGGCATCCGTGCATAATAGTCCCCAGTGGTCTCCAGTTTAATGGCTGCAGGAAGTATAGTTGTGATTAGGCTGAATGGAATGGTGATGTGGGTGGTTCCTTCTATCCTGGCCGGGTATATAAAGAGCTATCGTCACTGTGATTGACAGCCCTGATGAAGTCACGTGATATTCTGACGTAACGCGTCGGCGTAAGCGCGGTGACGTATTTCCGGCGTGGCGGCCATCTTGGTACACCTGTTATTCAGCTGTACACCCAACAACACAGATTTATCCTCATCTGAGAGCATGAGGGTCTCATGTGGACTGGCTGCTATGTAAGTGGAATTTTCTACCTACAAGTTTATGTTCCTATGTTCCTATGGTATAAATAAATAAATATACTACACTATGGGAGGATTCCTCTTTTTGTTCTGAGGGATTGATGTTTCACCTATACCTGGAGAAGAGCTTGAGTGGGATTATCGAAATTTGAAAAGCGTTTCTGGAAGGCTGTGGTGCCTGGAGGATCTGTGAGAGGGATCCATTATTGCTCTTTGATCCGCAAGGGTCGAAGGGATGAGGTGAGAGGCTAATCCAGAAGGTGGTTGGATTCACAAGCTCTATCTACACTCAGATACCTGCACGATTTGGTTCACCTGTGGTCACTTTGCAGTATTATTGGAAACACCGTTATCATTTTTGTTCACCTTCAACATTTAATTGGACTTTCTGTGCGTTTAATAAGCAATTATTTTCACTTCACATTTTTTTTATTTTCAACATTTATAGATTTGTTTTTCTGTGCGTTTAATAAGCCATTATTTCACTTCACATTTGCACGTGTGATATAACTATATGTATGTGTAATTTATGCACATGCGTATAGATTTAAGTTTGTATTTTTATAATTTTTGGGGTGTTTGATGTGATAATTTTTGTTATCATTAAGCACTTATATTTATTTACATAATATTGTCACTATATTGATTTATATTATTGGATTCCACATTCACTTTAATTTTGAATGTAGCGCAGCATTTATATGGTTTATATGCTTTTTGTAGGTATCCCTAATTGGGACACTGACCCCCAATGTAAGGGACATTCTTCCCACTGACCCCCAATGTAAGGGACATTCTTCCCACTGACCCCCAATGTAAGGGACATTCTTCCCACTGACCCCCAATGTAAGGGACATTCTTCCCACTGACCCCCAATGTAAGGGACATTCTTCCCACTGACCCCCAATGTAAGGGACATTCTTCCCACTGACCCCTAATGTAAGGGACATTCTTCCCACTGACCCCCAATGTAAGGGACATTCTTCCCACTGACCCCCAATGTAAGGGACATTCTTCCCACTGATCACCAATGTAAGGGACATTCTTCCCACTGACCCCCAATGTAAGGGACATTCTTCCCACTGACCACCAATGTAAGGGACATTCTTCCCACTGACCCCCAATGTAAGGGACATTCTTCCCACTGATCACCAATGTAAGGGACATTCTTTCCACTGACCCCCAATGTAAGGGACATTCTTCCCACTGACCCCCAATGTAAGGGACATTCTTCCCACTGACCACCAATGTAAGGGACATTCTTCCCACTGATCACCAATGTAAGGGACATTCTTCCCACTGACCCCTAATGTAAGGGACATTCTTCCCACTGACCCCCAATGTAAGGGACATTCTTCCCACTGATCACCAATGTAAGGGACATTCTTCCCACTGACCCCCCCCAATGTAAGGGACATTCTTCCCACTGATCACCAATGTAAGGGACATTCTTTCCACTGACCCCCAATGTAAGGGACATTCTTCCCACTGACCCCCAATGTAAGGGACATTCTTCCCACTGACCACCAATGTAAGGGACATTCTTCCCACTGATCACCAATGTAAGGGACATTCTTCCCACTGACCCCCAATGTAAGGGACATTCTTCTCACTGACCACCAATGTAAGGGACATTCTTCCCACCGACCCCCAATGTAAGGGACATTCTTCCCACTGACCACCAATGTAAGGGACATTCTTCCCACTGATCACCAATGTAAGGGACATTCTTCCCACTGACCCCCAATGTAAGGGACATTCTTCCACTGACCCCCAATGTAAGGGACATTCTTCCCACTGACCCCCAATGTAAGGGACATTCTTCCCACTGACCTCCAATGTAAGGGACATTCTTCCCACTGACCCCCAATGTAAGGGACATTCTTCCCACTGACCCCCCAATGTAAGGGACATTCTTCCCACTGACCCCCAATGTAAGGGACATTCTTCCCACTGACTCCCAATGTAAGGGACATTCTTCCCACTGACCCCTAATGTAAGGGACATTCTTCCCACTGACCCCCAATGTAAGGGACATTCTTCCCACTGACTCCCAATGTAAGGGACATTCTTCCCACTGACCCCCAATGTAAGGGACATTCTTCCCACTGACTCCCAATGTAAGGGACATTCTTCCCACTGACCCCCAATGTAAGGGACATTCTTCCCACTGACTCCCAATGTAAGGGACATTCTTCCCACTGACCCCCAATGTAAGGGACATTCTTCCCACTGACCCCCAATGTAAGGGACATTCTTCCCACTGACCCCTAATGTAAGGGACATTCTTCCACTGACCTCCAATGTAAGGGACATTCTTCCCACTGACCACCAATGTAAGGGACATTCTTCCCACTGACCTCCAATGTAAGGGACATTCTTCCCACTGACCCCCCAATGTAAGGGACATTCTTCCCACTGACCTCCAATGTAAGGGACATTCTTCCCACTGACCCCCAATGTAAGGGACATTCTTCCCACTGATCACCAATGTAAGGGACATTCTTCCCACTGATCACCAATGTAAGGGACATTCTTCCCACTGACCCCCAATGTAAGGGACATTCTTCCCACTGACCCCCCAATGTAAGGGACATTCTTCCCACTGACCCCCAATGTAAGGGACATTCTTCCCACTGACCCCCAATGTAAGGGACATTCTTCCCACTGACCTCCAATGTAAGGGACATTCTTCCCACTGACCCCCAATGTAAGGGACATTCTTCCCACTGACCCCCAATGTAAGGGACATTCTTCCCACTGACCCCCAATGTAAGGGACATTCTTCCCACTGACCCCCAATGTAAGGGACATTCTTCCCACTGACCACCAATGTAAGGGACATTCTTCCCACTGACCTCCAATGTAAGGGACATTCTTCCCACTGACCTCCAATGTAAGGGACATTCTTCCCACTGACCCCCAATGTAAGGGACATTCTTCCCACTGATCACCAATGTAAGGGACATTCTTCCCACTGATCACCAATGTAAGGGACATTCTTCCCACCGACCCCCAATGTAAGGGACATTCTTCCCACTGACCACCAATGTAAGGGACATTCTTCCCACTGATCACCAATGTAAGGGACATTCTTCCCACTGATCACCAATGTAAGGGACATTCTTCCCACTGATCACCAATGTAAGGGACATTCTTCCCACTGATCACCAATGTAAGGGACATTCTTCCCACTGACCCCCAATGTAAGGGACATTCTTCCCACTGACCCCCCAATGTAAGGGACATTCTTCCCACTGACCCCCAATGTAAGGGACATTCTTCCCACTGACCTCCAATGTAAGGGACATTCTTCCCACTGATCACCAATGTAAGGGACATTCTTCCCACTGACCTCCAATGTAAGGGACATTCTTCCCACTGACCACCAATGTAAGGGACATTCTTCCCACTGACTCCCAATGTAAGGGACATTCTTCCCACTGACCCCCAATGTAAGGGACATTCTTCACACTGACCACCAATGTAAGGGACATTCTTCCCACTGACTCCCAACAAAAATGAGTCTACCCCTAAGTAACAAGATCCAAATTGGGCCCAATTAGCCATTTTCCCTCCCGGGGTCATGTGACTCGTTAGTGTTACTTGGTCTCAGGTGTGAATGGGGAGCAGGTGGGTTACATTTGGTGTTAACGCTCTGGAGTAGAACTCTCTGAGGATCTGAAAAAAAGAATTGTTGCTCTACATAAAGATGGCCTCGGCTATAAGAAGATTGCCAAGACCCTGAATCTGAGCTGCAGCACGGTGGCCAAGACCATACAGCGGTACAAATATGTGAGGGGTGGACTCACTTCTGGGAGATACAGTATATCAGATATATCCCATATATTAAATGTTCCCTACATAACAGACATCCTCCATATACAGTATTACCCGCCCCCTATATATCGGACACACCCTCTATGTATGACGTGTTTCTGCTTTGCTCTGGACCTGGTGCTGCCGATTATACTCATTGGAGGGTTTATTTCACCTCAAGATGGCATCATTGTTTGTTTTCAACAGTTTTTTCACTTTTTTCGCCTTTTATTTGTTTATCTGTTCTCTGTGACTCAAAAATGTTTATTTCAGGTTTTTATGCTTTGGATGAAAAATTCAATCCAACGGTGAAATAGGGCAAAGTGCAAAAATAAATCCAAATCCTCCTTTTAGATGAGCCCCTTTTCCTGACAGAAGAGTTTTGTTTTCATGCCCCATCATAGGGGATGTATGCTAACCCTGTGCACGTCTTTCTATACGTTGCATTCCGGTCCCGTCATCCGTCGTATTTGTATTCCCATAATATGTGTCCCGTCGTATTTGTATTCCCATAATATGTGTCCCGTCGTATTTGTATTCCCATAATATGTGGCCCGTCGTATTTGTAGTCCCGTAAGATGTGCCACGTCACCCGTCGTATTTCCGTAAGATGTGCCACATCACTTGTCGTATTTATATTCCAGTAAGGTTTGTCCCGTCACCCCTCGTATTTATATTCCAGTAAGATGTGTCCCGTCACCCCTCGTATTTATATTCCAGTAAGATGTGCCCCGTCACCCCTCGTATTTATATTCCAGTAAGATGTGTCCCGTCACCCCTCGTATTCATACTCCAGTAAGATGTGTCCCGTCACCCCTCGTATTTATATTCCAGTAAGGTGTGTCCCATTAACCATTGTATTTATATTCCAGTAAGATGTGTCCCGTCACCCCTCGTATTTATATTCCAGTAAGGTGTGTCCCGTCACCCCTCGTATTCATACTCCAGTAAGATGTGCCCCGTCACCCCTCGTATTCATACTCCAGTAAGATGTGTCCCGTCACCCCTCGTATTCATACTCCAGTAAGATGTGCCCCGTCACCCCTCGTATTCATACTCCAGTAAGATGTGTCCCGTCACCCCTCGTATTTATATTCCAGTAAGGTGTGTCCCGTCACCTGTGGTATTTATATTCCAGTAAGATGTGTACCGTCACCCCTCGTATTCATACTCCAGTAAGATGTGTCCCGTCACCTGTGGTATTTATATTCCAGTAAGATGTGCCTCGTCACCCCTCGTATTAATACTCCAGTAAGATGTGTCCCGTCACCCCTCGTATTCATACTCCAGTAAGGTGTGTCCCATCACCTGTGGTATTTATATTCCAGTAAGATGTGTCCCGTCACCCCTCGTATTCATACTCCAGTAAGATGTGTCCTGTCACCCCTCATATTCATACTCCAGTAAGGTGTGTCCCGTCACCTGTGGTATTTATATTCCAGTAAGATGTGTCCCGTCACCCCTCGTATTTATATTCCAGTAAGATGTGTCCCGTCACCCCTCGTATTTATATTCCAGTAAGATGTGTCCCGTCACCCCTCGTATTTGTATTCCCGTAAGGTGTGTCCCGTCACCTCTCGTATTTATATTCTAGTAAGGTGTGTCCCGTTACCCGTTGTATTTATATTCCAGTAAGATGTGTCCCGTCACCCCTCGTATTTGTATTCCCGTAAGGTGTGTCCCGTCACCTCTCGTATTTATATTCTAGTAAGGTGTGTCCCGTTACCCGTTGTATTTATATTCCAGTAAGATGTGTCCCGTCACCCCTCGTATTTATATTCTAGTAAGGTGTGTCCCGTCACCCCTCGTATTCATACTCCAGTAAGATGTGTCCCGTCACCCCTCGTATTCATACTCCAGTAAGGTGTGTCCCGTCACCTGTGGTATTTATATTCCAGTAAGATGTGTCCCGTCACCCCTCGTATTTATATTCCAGTAAGATGTGTCCTGTCACCCCTCTTATTCATACTCCAGTAAGATGTGTCCCGTCACCTCTCGTATTTATATTCCAGTAAGGTGTGTCCCGTCACCCCTCGTATTTATATTCCAGTAAGATGTGTCCCGTCACCCCTCGTATTTATATTCCAGTAAGATGTGTCCTGTCATCCCTCGTATTTATATTCCAGTAAGGTGTGTCCCGTCACCCCTCGTATTTATATTCCAGTAAGATGTGTCCCGTCACCCCTCGTATTTATATTCCAGTAAGATGTGTCCCGTCACCCCTCGTATTCATACTCCAGTAAGATGTGTCCCGTTACCCGTTGTATTTATATTCCAGTAAGGTGTGTCCCGTCACCCCTCGTATTCATACTCCAGTAAGGTGTGTCCCATCACCCCTCGTATTCATACTCCAGTAAGATGTGTCCCGTCACCCCTCGTATTTATACTCCAGTAAGATGTGTCCCGTGACCTGTGGTATTCATACTCCAGTAAGATGTGTCCCGTTACCCCTCGTATTTATATTCCAGTAAGATGTGTCCCGTCACCCCTCGTATTTATATTCCAGTAAGATGTTTCCCGTCACCCCTCGTATTAATACTCCAGTAAGATGTGTCCCGTCACCCCTCGTATTTGTATTCCCATCAGCAGTGAGCGGGGAGATGTGAGCCTTGTTCTATTAGAAGTCCACATATGTGAAGTAATAAAGGGCCTTTTATTTCTCGGGTGACATGATAGAGCTGAATTTCGTCCTGCAGCCTGAGCGCGGAGGACACCACACGGTGACACATCAAAGTGGCAGCTGGCGGATGTCAGTATTTGGTCAGGTGGGAAGAAGACGGCGAGGCTGAAAGCAAATCTTGTGCAGACGCAGAGTCAGGGGATGCTACCTGCGGAGCACAATATGAGAGCTTTTGTCTGATCCCAGGCGGAGGAAAGACCATCCGGGCTAGGAAGATAAAAGTATCCCCGCAGAAGTGGAGGTCGCAGTACTGCCGATGACAACCTCCCAGACTGGAGCTGAAACCATAACTGGAGTGCTGTCACCGTGTGGGCGCTGCTCTAAGCAATTTGATTCGTTCAGAGAATAGACTCGCACCCATACGGTGTCATAGACAATACCATGGAGGATACAAACCTCCCCGAACACCAGACTAGGATAGAGAACAAAGAATTCCAGACTGACTGCTAAATGTACAGATATGGGAGATGTTCACCTGCCAATGTGTACCTCTGTCCATCCAGTCCTTCTCTCAGTGCTGCTCTGTCTGGCAGAGGACACAGCTGTGTATTTTCTGAGACATTATTAAATGTGAGTATTTGAAGTGTTACTGAACCCCCAGCAGTACAATCAGTCTGTAGATGCAGGAAGGCATGCTGGTTCTACTCACTGTGCAACCTAAGGGGTTAATCCTCTGCACTGTGTCTGTTTGATCATGTCTTCTCTGATTCTCCCCTTCTTCCACAGTCCCCAATCCATCAGATAGTACAGAGCCCTAGGAGGCACTCTGCACATGCTCAGTTTGGTGTGTATTTCTAGAGAATTGTTTTGGGGGGAGGAGGGAGGGGGTTTTTTGTTTTTTTTCTTGGGAGGGTGCATGTGATCAACACATAGCCAATCCGCACTGTCAGGACGGAGTGTCAGGGGTCATGCAGCCTCATAGGACAGTCGGAGGAGAATGACAACTCCTCCTACAAGATTGACCAGTGCATGGCCGGACACTGATAGAAGTCACAAGACTGCTCTATACTGCCGATGAGAAAAGCGATTTAGCAGTTTATATTGACTAAAATAGTTGAATTTCCGTGTACTGCGAGAGACCAGATCTAGTGAATGCAGGTTCCAGGGTTTGGTAACACTTTAAGTGCAGGCAGTGCAAGTACCTGAATTTGACTTATTAGCCCTTTGTAATCTCCTATGCAGCAGAACTCAGACTGGGAGAGGGAGGGGCAGGACTGGGAGCTAACAGGTATGTTGAAGTGCTGACAAGGGACATGCTGACAGGAGGAGAGTGCGAAGAAATGAGCTGCCCAATTACAGGCTGGGGGAGGGACAAGACCTGTAAGTGTTATTGACCAGCAACAGAGAAAATTTAGGTCTGCTGCCCTGCCAGAGCTG